TTTTTTTTTTTTTTTTTTCGTAAAGCTTTTGGGTCTGTCTGTGTTGAAACGAGATTCCAAGAGAGACACGTTCTCTCTACGTTGCAGCACTTTGGCAGGTCAAGGATGACTCAGCGTCCTTCTGGAGCGCGAAGTCGTCATTGTGCTGCGGCGCGCCACTGAAAGTGTTTTTCGATTTGCGCTGGATTTGGGCTTCAGGCCACCTCAGCAAAGCCCCTGCCTCGAAAAGAAACAACAAATGATAGGAATAATGGTAATCATGGTAATAATGGTAATAATTGTAATGGTAAGAATAGTAATAATAAGAGGAATTCTAGTTTGTCTTGTAATGCGAATAATAATGGCACAATAATGGTACTTATAGTCTTATAGTAGTAACAATAAGGTTGAATTGCTAGAGTCCACAAGTTACTACTGTAACAAAGCAAGGAACCGGGCGAAGCACCTGAGATGGTTGGCCTTGCCAAGATTTCATCGAACTGGTCTTCTACGAACGCCATAAATTCTGCCAAGACTATAGCTTGCCGTCGGATGTCATAGCTAATGCCAACCTTGGTTGCTCCTTGATCCACCCATAAACGTTTAACCTTTGGGTTCCTTGACATGAGGAAAGAGGAACCCCAGAAATGTTAAAGCATTAAAGCTCTAACAAATTAGTACTATCATATTACAACTATGACCATTTTTGCTAGTATTATTACTATTCTCACTATTACTACTGCTGCTATGATTTTTACTCTTATTGCTATTCTTACTCTTGCTACCGCGATTACTATTCTTACTATTCATACTATTCTTTCTATCCTTATTATTCTTAGCATTCTTACTATTGCTACTGTAATTTCTATTTTTACTATCTGTTCTTACTATTATTAACTACTATTGCTATCATTACTATTTTTTCTATTCTACTTTTATTACGTGCTAAAAAGTTGTGGTAAGTGAAGTCCCACCCAGCAACCAGGTCAATGGTTTTGGCCTGCCCTTTCAGTCGCAGCAAGCCATCCACAAACTCCTCGTGACACAAAGGGTCAAGGGTTTAGGGTTCTGGGGTTTAGACAGTGGACCCCCACCCTGTAATAGTTGCATAATTTGGGTTCTAACAGCATCCTAATATCATTATCCCTGACAGGATTATTCCATATTATTCCTGGGTGTGGGGGTCCACCTGGCCCGCATGAAACACAAATAGGTCTGAACATACGGTACCCACATCACAGAAATAGCAATGGTAGAAGGAATCGTGAAAATCCTGCTGAGAGCAAAAATGACATAATGATTCAAGAACAAGTAAAATAAACAAAACAATCGCACTTCAAAAGACAAAACATGAAAAAGCCCTGACAAGTACCTCAATTGACAGCTCTCCACTGCCGTCTGTGTCCAGAAGCTTGAACATGCTCCAAGTGGACTCAACCGTGATGTCCAAGTGCGATAAATAGGCTTGCATATCCTCTCGATTCAGAAGGGCCTCCAGCTGAGGAAAGGTTATGCTTTCCTCCTCCTCCAAGTCAACGTGCCCAGCCAACATGGACTTGAATGTCTGGATGTGGTCTTCACGTAACCGAATTTGATCCATAATCACTTGATCTTTGTCTGCCTGCGCCATCTCGAATGCATGCTCACAGAAAAACCTTGGCTGCTCATTACTTTCGAATCAAAGTTTAAAAATTCAGCTCCATTATCATCAAATAGAGGAACCAAAAAGTTATCACTTGCAAGCAGTAGTGCTAAAGTCCCACCTAGGAACCCAGTTACCACGTTGGCCATGCAGAAGAGCATGAACATGACATAGATCAACAGCCTGAGCGTTTCGCACACATGGGCGCAACACTTACACCAAGGTGCTTGTTGCTTAGATCTTCTTGCCAAAGCACTAAACCCTGAATCTTGATGGGCTCAGGATGAAGGGAGACAAGGTTTGGTCTAGTTCGTGACACACCAGTACGTAAACCCTTGAGGGTCGAGGCGGAAAGCTTAGGGCGTAGGGTTGGGGATAACCAAAGAAGACAATGTCTGAGAGCACAACCCCCCGTTTTCAGGGAACAAACCCTATGGCATGGTAGGGGGCAGAGGCAGTTTCGAGAAATAGTCGCAAACCCCCTCAATTCATAGAGGTTCCTATGAAATGCATAGTTTCAGAACCAACTTCTGATGAAAACTATTTCATAGAGAAAGCTGTGCCTACAGCGTGTTGGGTGAAAGAAGGACCAACCCTACCATTTCATGGAGGGGTTATGCGTCTGTTGCCCCACAGCCACGGCGTGACCCCGGTCTCAGGAAGCATGCTGCATAGCTCCAAGGGTGTCCCAAGAATGCCTATGTCTCAACCAATTGCCGACTAGCTGCAGAAACAGATACAAAGGTCCAACAGGAAGAAGATCAGCTGCCTCAGGCCACAGAGGCTGCCCAACAGCTCACTTCGTAATGCATTGGGACATGGGTATTTGCACGGGCAGTTGAAAACAAAAACAATTCCTAGATTGGCCTCCCGAAAAAAAATGAGAAACACAGCATAGCAGCTGCATGCCTAAACGGCTAAAGCTGGCCACAGTTGAGTAGTGTTTATTTTGGTGGTTGAACCTAGTGAGATTATATCCCTTGTGGAAAAAACTATACCCCAAAGGGAGGATAGAATCTTCCTCTATAATGCGTACCATAGTATCCCCAAATAAAATACTACTCAGTTGTTGTTATTGTATGAGCACGGCAAAGCAATTACAATTGCCGTTCCAGGCCGCTGGTTCTCCCCAACTAACGCCACCGGACACTGTCTTGAAGAGCGTATAGGCGGTGCGTGCAAGCGTGCCAAAGTCTTCCCAAAGTCGGTCTCGTTGTGCCTGGACACCCCAGATGCCCGAGAATCCAGGAGGCCACGTGAGGCATTATACGCAAGCGTCGGTGCTTTCAATATGGGCCACATCACATATTGGCTATGACTACCGCTGAAACAACAACAAACAGATCTTTCCTGAACACTCCCTCCCAACACTGCGGCCGTGCATCGGATGGATCAGACTGTTGCAAATGCTCAGTCACGGCAGCAGTAATTCCCACGGAGAATAGGTAGATGATGATGACCATCACCAGCACTGTCCAAAAAAGAGACGTCAGAGTGTGTAGTATAGTGTAAACCAAAGTGCGCAGCTGACGAAAAAAGCGCGTCACGCGGATGATACGAGCCACCCGTATGATTCTCGCAAAACGTGCAACTGATAAAGTTGCAGTGCTGTCTTCGATGACCCAGCTGAGCATGATCTCCGCTGTGGAGAGTGTTACGATCAGCGTGTCAAAGACATTCCATGGTTTGTCTACACGATCTGTAAAGAACCGGCCTCTGTAGGCCACCATACGAAAACACAGCTCCAAGCCAAACAGCAGTGCAAACATGATCTGCATTATGCGGAAAGGCGTAGCAGAGGACGGCATAGAGTTTGTCGCAGCAAGTTCAACCTCAAACCCAATGCTCACGGCATTGATGACGATCAGAAAAGCCTCAGTCCATGGCAATAACTAGTGTAGCTAGGGTCCATTTACACAGATGCACCGTGATGCACAGCATCCAGAGGCAAACAAGAAATTCACCAAACGTGGCAGAGCCAAGCGAAGGACGCATAGACGGTCAAACCACTGGCTCTTGACAATGACGAGTGCAAAGTTCTCATCAGGACTGGGCTCCAGTTCCGGTCCTCCAGCATAAGTGCCTACAAATACTACCCCCGCTTACGTCTCCCCCCAACATGAATCCAAAACAAAACCTGATTCGGGCCCATCTAAGCCTTATGTAAGGGAGTAGGAGTACCAAGGCAGTGTAGTATAAGATCCCATGAGGTAAGTCGCTCCAACAGGGAACAGCATGTGCTGATGCTCTGGCATTGCCCTGTCCTTCTGCAGCTACAGGCCTCAGTGCACACGAGCATAGTCTCCGAGATTCTCTGAGATAATATGATAAACGCTCATCTTAGCAATACTAATGCTTGCAGCGGTGAGGCGAGTGGCTATATTGATAGTAATGAAGCAATGATAATTTCAGTAAGAGTAATAACGACAATGATAAGAAATCATAGTAAAAGGAATGACTACGTCCACAATGCGGAGCTGGCTGAGCTTGAAGCTCGCTTTTGACTGCCACCTGCTGCGGCACGCTGTCATCAAGAAGCTGCCACCGTCGGCCCTAGTTTTCCAAGAAATGCGCTTGTGCAAGTCCATCAACGTTTCACACAAGGACAACCTCGGAACCTCGGGGCATCAGGAGGCTTGGCAAGTATATCTTTAATCCGTAGAAGTCATACCGCAACCCCAGTTATCCGTTTTGTTAACTTACTTACTACAGCAAGTCCCCCTGACCCTCCAAGCAAATTCTGGGTGGCGCGCCAACGGACTTTTGGAGGACTTGTCATGCCAAACCTGAACCCACGTACCAGCAGCCAGGGCCCTCATAGTCCCCTTAATTGAGGTTCTGCAAGGGTATCTGGGGATTATATAGCGCTTGTACAGTGGTTGTATAGGAACATTACCCCAATAATGGAAATCTAATGCAACATGAAATTGAAACAGGGATGATGTGGTAGTTTCCCTACATAGGGGGACCCCAACATAGACCCTAGTATGCTGCAATCCCTACGGTAGAGACCCCCCCAAACACTTACCCCCTACTTTTGGGAAAGTCCCCTGAGACCCTAAACCTAAACCCTATATAACTCCAATATACTGTATATTCCCTACAAGTTAATCCCTTTAAAGGGGCACCTATACAACTGTATGACTGCTATGTCTTCCCTATAATCCCTTTAAAAAGAACCCTATAATTACTACTACATCCTATATTCCCTATACTTTAATCCCTGTATATTCCCTTTAATTTAATCCGTTTAAAGGGACCCCCATATTATTGAATCCTGAAAAGCCGAGCCTTGGAAGAAGACACCTGCGTTTCCGGGGCAACTTTCAGAGCACAGGCCACCTGCAAGCAGTATTTGTTTTTTTTTCATATTTTTGTTGTTTAGGGTGTAGGGTTTGGGGTGGTTCTCCACATACTTCCGTTCTGAAATTAGGATTTAGGGTTTGGGTTCTCCACATCCCCTTACCTACTGGGGGTAAAAAAAAATATATATATATATATACACATGTGTGTATATATTTTTCTGGGGATTCCATTCCTTTATTGAGAGGTGTGTAGGGAATGAGTGGCTATACACACATATCTACATATAAATATATATGTAATTAGTTTAGGGTTTAGGTCTGTTCCCTTATTCCGTACCGACCACAAGCAAGTACAGCAGCACAGGGGGTAGTGCAGGCTGCCTCTCCGCCAGCAGAGAGCGGCAGCCTGTACATCTGCTGGGGCTACCCCACATGAACATGAGGCTCTCGGCAAAAAAGAAAACCGGGCGGGGGAGAGCACATAATATGATGTAATATAGTATAATATCGTATAATGTAGTATAGTATAGTATAGCATGCGAGCAAGCAACATCAGGGAACCATCATAGCCAGCAGAGACCATGTCAGAATCCACCGTGACATCGCCCAACAGGTTCTCAGGAAGAACCGAATCCTGCCAAGGGCTCCAACTGCTGCCAAGACTTGCAACAAGCCAATTCCAAACTGCAACCGGCACCTTGAACAGAGAGATCAGGACCGCATCGCCCGCTCGCGCATCGTGCAGAACACCCGAAACTTCGGGCTCAGCACCCAGCCCCACAGCGAGGAGGCAAGAGTCCGAGCCTGAGTCATACGCAGCCAAGATGGGTAGCGTTTTTCCTGGTGGCAAAACCCAGTAGGTTTATATTCCTTATATAAAATACTATACCCCAAAAGGAGGATAGAATCTTACTCTATAGTGGGTACCATAGTAGTCCCAAATAAAATGCTACTCAGATGGGGACTTTGGATTGGGTTTAGGGTTCAGGGCAAGGGCAGGCCCCTTGGCCCATTGGTGAGGCATTGTGTGCTTCCAGCCAGCTGGCAAGTTAGCATAACATCCAAATGGTCCCTGCTGATTTTCTCCTATATTCCTTGTTCCCTTTTTCCCTACTAGCCCCAGTAAGACTAATGGCAAAATTGCAAGAAGTTGACGAAAGCTGGCTTCACGGGTTACCCCCAAGGTTAGGGGTTAGAGTTTAGGGGGTTCCCCTCAATTTGCCTGAGTTCCGCGTGGAGGTCCCTGAGACGCAAGAGCAGAATGATAGCTGGCCAAAGTGGGCAACCCGTGTGAGCTGTAGTCTAAGCCCCAGTGTCCCCCTTAATAACCTTTGCAATACTCCCCTAAGGCCCTAATAGGCCCTATATAATCCCCCATATAACCCCCCTTGAGGAGTTTAGACTATAGCTCATGTGACACCTCTTCGTTGGGATCACAGGCACAACACAAACCTTGCTCAACAATATTTAACCACCAAACCTCGCGAGCTCCCACGAACCTCGAAGTGTGGGCTTCAGATGATTCAGGCAAAAGGGGTTGCGGGGTTGATGCTGTCGAAAAAGTAATCAAAAAACTGGAGATGAAAAGTTGTAATAGGCATCCCGTTGATGTGGGGGGGTGGTTCCGATATGCCACATTGTTGGCCCCCGTGGGCTTCCGGAGACGTAGGGTGTCCGGTGCAACTTCTTTCTTGGACAGACAGCCCTGCAGGTATGGATGCTAGACAGGTTACCGTTGCCACAACTCACAGCACTGAGCCCATGACATCCTGACAAAACTCTGACGAAAAAAAATCAACTTTCTGAAGCAGAGCAATAGCTCTAGGCTCGGTGCCTGCTTGTGATAATCAATGGTTCCTGGGTTGTACCCCTAAGGATCCCAAAACCAAGGGGTACAACTCTAGGGGTACAAGCCTGCAACCCTTGGAATAAGGAAAATAGTCCCCCTTGAGCAAACAGAACATGGAATTGACAACTACTATAATAAGATCCCCATATACCGTACCCCATATTCTATCTACTTAAGCGACCACAAGAAGCTTGATGGCTTTCCTAAGCCCATGCCCTGGTTGTGTCACGGGCCGTCTGCACAGGACTCCCCTAAGCCCTAAACCCTAAAGACTAAACCCAAAACCCTCAGGTTTAGGGATTCGCCATGCATAATTTGCTCCTCTGGTTACCAATGCATAGAGTCGACCGCCCTAAGTTAAAGCATATCCAAGCGCAGCCACATGGTTTAGGGTTGAGGGGTTAAGCGTGTTGGCCGGTCATCTTGCGCAACTTTCAGACAGACGTGGCGCATTTCCCGGGCTCTAGCAACTCCTGCACTGCTGTAACTTTTTTGAACGCCGAGACACCACTGCCCTTGACTTGGCACATGCAAAGCCCGGCAGTGTCTTCCAGGAGTTCATCGGCATTGCGAAGAGTGACCTGCTGCGGCATGCCGCGCCACCAAGATCAAACAGCTTGCGATAATAATACTTCCTGGAAGGACTTGTGCTGACGGGGCGTGCCTTGACCTGCCGATTCTCTCCCAAACTCGCCCCTGACACTGGGGAAGGGCAATTGAAGACCTCCAGCTGCACAGTTACAAGGAGGTAAGCCGCTGTTCCGTCCAAGGCAAGAAGCGCGAATTAATTTTGGGAAGGCGACTCTATCATCGCTCCTTGTCAAATCGCCAAGGGCAGCAACACAATCTTTTAGGAGCTCCTGAGGGTCATCTGCAATATGAAACACAGGCACGCTCAAACGTCAAGTCTCACTAGAAGTCCTTCAATTCGGCATGATGCCGTTGCAAATAGGCATCGAGCTCCTGCCATCCCAGAATTTCAAGGTCTACTCCGTCGAAAGGACATGCTTCATCTGTCTTACCTACCAAGTGAGCCGGAATTGTATTTTCATTGGGTGCAGTTCTTGGCTCACCTCTGGTGCTATCTGGTGCTCAGGCCTGGTCAACGAAACGTGCTCGTTCCGAGTTCTGCGGTGGTGCAACTTCGGCAACCTGGACCGTAAGGCTCAGACACTCTGGCGACATGAGGGGTCTTCACATGTCAATAGCACCACACCGGCGAACCTGCCGCTCCGTCGGCACCTCCAATTCGAGCGGAGGGATAGGGCAGCCCGCAGCCATCACAATTCGTGATCGCTACGAAGCGCTGCCACGCGCAGCGCGCGTGGAATTTCCAGCCCAAACAGCTGCCAATACATGGATGCGACATGATGCATCCACTCTGCAAGGTCGCGTGTGAAGCAATCTCGATGCTGAGTTCGGGGACGATCCATTCAACTCTGCCTGTCCTTCAAGCAAACATCTCAGAGCCTCAAGTCATCGGATGGTCAACCACATTAGTGAGCAAAACGATGCTAATGCACAAGCATAATCATGCTTGCCCAAGCAGCGTCGGGTTCACGGTGTGCTATCTGACTATTTATGGGGTCTGGCTTCAGATCAACACTCAATGACACACTTACCCACATAGCGGCAATCTCTTCTGAGAATTGATGTGCCCAACAACACACCGGCCAGTAAATACCAACATGATGAAACTGAAGTCCTGTTTCTGCACAAACAAACAGCAACTTGAGTTTCTGACCACAGGGAGGTCTGCAGCATCAACCTCTTGTGAGCCGTGTTTAACATTGGATGTGATGACTGCAGAAAACCCGAACATTGCACAAGCAAAAAGGCGTGGCCTCGGCTGGCAACCTCAGATCCCACAGTATGGCCACAAAAATGCACCGAATTCAATGATGCCACGCTATCCACCGATGAACGATGGGCTGCCAACCAAACCGTGTCCGGTCCTGAGCCTCTACAACTCAAGCCAAGTAATAAGATCGCATGTCGGATCTCAATGGCCTCCTGGGTCTTGGCCAACGGCGACCTCAGAGGCAAATGCGCTACCCTGCACATATCCGCGTGAAATGGTGCACTCAAAGTTTCCTGCTGGTTCTGTCACAGCTGCTGACCTCGAAATGCTGATGCAGTGACGTGAAATTGGACACAGTACCACACACGTTGGTTGATCCTGGGAAACGTGCGTATCCGCAACATGTGGCCTCTGCATGCCAAGGAACTCACACTGCACAAAAACCGAACTGGCCCTTGGTGTTTTTGCTTCCTCACAAAAAGGCCTGGGAATGGTGTTGACAAATTGCCAGTGGATTGGCACATATGATTTGCAAACCACCTGGGATGCAGACTCTGTTTCTGCTGGCGTTGTTTGGGGACCTGAGGCACCAACCAAGGGAGCTGGATTGTGAAGGTGCGGATGGGCAGTCGGGTCAACAAGGACGCATAACAGAAGACAACGATCGCCCCCAAGCAAAAAAACCATGAAACGCAGAACGCAAACCCTGACCGCATGCAGATTTGCTGAAAACGTCTGAAAACGTCATGGGCCTCAAATGGTGATGCCTCACCCCACCAATAATACTCACAAAGTGACAACACCATTGACCATTGCATCTAGAAATCTCAGCGTCATATCAACGTTTTTTGATTTTGTTTTGCGGGCGTCTTCTTCTGCCCAAAAAGTCGGGATCAGTGGGAGCACTGGTGGTTGTGCATAGCCGGTCGGCTAGACTGATTGCCCGTCCGCCGGAAGGGTCCCTGAAGGCGGCCCCGGCAACTCTAGCAGAGAGTGAGCAATTGCTCACGATGCGGCGATGGCGTGCATGCCCATCCATCGGTGGAGGGAGGCCTGACACACAACGACAGACATGCACTGGCAAACAACTGCCAGTTCCGGGTACGTGTCCCGCTCGGAACTGGGAGGAGCTGCTCCATCGCGTCCACGGCGGCTTGTGCCCCCCTGCCGAAGCGGAACGCCAGTGGCCAGCTTGATGCGGCAGGCGCATGGAGGTTCATGATCCCGAGCAGAGCATGTGGAGGCCAGCTTCGCGGCAGATGTGCGCTGCTGCCCACTCAAGCGGCAGACCATACATGCCCAGCAACGTGGTTGTGGGCAAGTTGTGGGGCCGGGGATCGCCGAACAGGTCCCTGCACCTGCAAATGTCAAGGGTTCGGGCAAGCGACGATGGCGCGCAAGCCACTGCTGCTGTCCTTCCAACACAACAATGGGACGTCGGTGTCCAAGGGTCCTTGCGTGAACAACTAACTCCCTGCACGCCCTACAAAATTTGGGCGCATGCCAGCGTGGTCCTGCATGCCAGAGGTGGGTTGCTGTCCTAACATCCTCGTCGGATCCCACATGCCAGACATTGAGCTGCCGTAGATCCACAACCCAAATTATTAGGAAATCTCCCCACAGATCATGCGCCCTAAATCCTTGAGCTACTTGATACAGATGAGGCGGAAGACCCTGAATTCATGAACAAAACACCTCATAGCATCTCATAGCCCCGCACCCGCAACATACCCAATATCGGTCGGTTTGTTGCTTATTCTTTTCTTTTTCAAGATTTCTACGACTGAATTGGAGGTCCCACCCCGGTCCAATCTGGCTAGCTACCCATCTGCAGGTGGGCGAGGCCGCTGGCCACGCGCAGTCGAACTCTCTTCCCGTCATTGCCTGCTGCACGGCTACCGACAGGATGCTCCATCACCGGCGTGCCCACCCAGACATGGCAAAGTGCTGTACAGCCGGCGGGGCTCTGCACGCACGGGCGCACACGAGCTCGTACCAGACTCAGGGCACCAGTGTTCCAACATAATACCGTAATAAAGCCGTCTGCGCAAAGCACGGGTACGCCTGCCGATGTGCCGGCGAAAGCCAATTCCCACCCAGTCGCTGCCCAAAACTCTTCTCTTGAAGGCCTTGATCATCCTGCCGCGATGTGTGGAAGCAGCTGTTTTTTGATCTCGGTGTGTTTTTGCGCAAGTTTCTGTTCTCTCTGGCTGGCCCTGGCGGGTCGCCCATCACACCACCTCCGACGTTGTTTCCGCACGCGTCCCAACGTTGCCGCTGTGGGGTCCCACTGGATGTGCCAAGGGATCACCGAGCAACTGGTTCAGCCTTTGCGGATGCTAAATCATGATACACCGTCGTCTTCCCGCGGTATTCCAACAGGAGTCGCGGACGTGCTGTGTGGACGAACCGTCTCTTTCCAATGGAATTTTGTGCCTGCACGACCATGGTCCCGAGTCGGTCTTACTACGGGTTCCTATGCTGCAAGCGGCGGCCGGCTGCAGGAGTCAGCTCCCCACGCGCGGTCGAGCACGCACTCAAGGGGCCGGGCATCGGCGGTGCTTGTGGGCGAGGCAGTTGACCTCGCGCAGCCAAGCGCCGTCCCCACAACTGCTTGCTGCACAACGAGTGACAACATGCCCCACCATCTGTATGCCCATCCGACATCGCATTTTTTGTTTTCTCAGACTTTTGCGCCTGCAGCGGGCACGTTGTCTGTGAGGGCAGCCCAAGCTGGGCAATCACTTCAACCCTCGTTCCGCAGCAAATTGGAATCCGCCCAAGCAACCCAGAACGCAGCTGGTGCTGTGCGCACAGCCGACAGCAGTCCAAAACCTCCGCCGCCTGGAGTGCACGAGCTCGGGGACGAAGTCTGGCGCGGCAGCCGGCCGTCCAGCGAGTGCGGGTTCACCGCTCTGGGCGTAATCACCCGGACCATATCCGCGAATGGGGGCACGGACGCGCACAGGATGAACAGGCCTTCTTGGACTACTTGCCGCACCTTTCGGATTTGCAGCGCGTGGCTCCTCCTGCTCCTGTGCGGCAGCACGCGGGCCAACCACGCTTTGCGCAACATCCTGCCAGACGTGGCGCAGCCGTATGCGGAGGCGCGCGACCGCGCAATCTGTGCGACTTTGCGCTGGCAGCGACCCGCTCGTTTCCCCGGCCTGGGCGGTCGCCACCCTTCCTGCAACTCGGTCAACGCCTGCTCTGGCTTTCCGTGAGCCGGTGATGACACAGAGGTCATCCAGGTAGCTCCTCGCCCGCTTGCAATTCAGACGCTGCCCTTTCGAGGCGTCACGCTGGCCCAGCAGAAGGTGTGCCGGGCTGTTCGCACCCTTCCGCATGGTGTATGTCCCGCCAGGTCCCGGATGCGTCCCACCAGCGGTAGACAAAAAGCTGCCCACCGGCACCAGCACGGCGCTCATGAGCAGATGGCGAGCGTGGCTGACTTCAGCAAACGACCCCGCCCTTTTGCGCGGCGGCCAGCAAAGCGAGCCACGGGAGCCTGCACCCAGCCGCGCCATGCAAGCCCGGGCGCGCCAGGAGCATGCGCGGCGTAAGCAAAAACAGGGACCGAGCTCGGGCGGGAGTGACGTGGCGTTCCCCGCGGCATCAGCGTGGCGAATCGCCAGCTGAGAGAGTCGTGTCTGGTAACGACCGTGGGTCACGGTCAGAGGTGTTAACCACCTTGCACATGTATGGTTCGCAATCATCACAAACAACCAAGGAAACAAGGTAGCACCAGAACAGAACATCAAAATTTCGAAACCATACAGGATGTGCTAAATGCATCTGGTCTACAGGTATGTACAAACACAATTGCATGGAATCTCTCACATCAATATGAAAACGATTGCAACTCAAATCTCGCACGCATCACCAGCAATGCATATCTCAGCAACATGTTGGATGTTGTTGATGATGTCGCGGGCACTAATTGACATCCGGGCTTGTTGAAAACAAGGTGTGCAATGACATTGCGCTTGTATGCCGTGATCTGCGGCCCCACCTTTGTCGCAACATATGGTGTGCTGTGCAATGTAACAAGGCATGTTCAAGAGAGTCGCATCCACCTGCACAAAATCAGCAGGGAGCTTGACGGGGAATAATTTGAAGGTTACGTTGCCGGGTCGAACGCCCATCACTAAAGCAATGATGGCCACAGCGTGCAAGACCCCAATACCGCGCACATCCGCGCACTGCGGGCGGGGATGTGGGGGCCGTAAACGACAGTGTGCAGATGAGGACTGGGTTGCCAACACGCATATGCATGTAAAGAATTGCATCCTTCAAGAGTGGAATTGTAAGTTTCCCAAGCACGATGTGACAACACAACCTTCATGGTGCGGAGCCATGGCTGGAGCACACGGACTTGGCACCCCGAAACGATACCAAAGTCACGAGGGCGCGGGGCGCCCAATTGCTGCAGCTCACGCAGTGTCGAGCAGAGCCAAGAGTTGGGTTCAGACGCTGCATG